CCCCCTGGCCTGTGCTGCTCAGGCTCCAGGGAACAGGGAGGGGTCGCTGACCTGGCTGAGGGCAGGCGGAGGCTGGTCTGGGCAGGGAGCAGCCAGAGCCGGGCCTGAGTCACAGCACCCGGCTGTCCCCGGGGCCCGTCCACACCCCTCACCATCTCTTCTCCCCCAGTCCAGGGACCGGAAGATGGTGGGAGACGTGATTGGGGCCCAGAGCTATGCGTCCACCGCCAAGTGCCTGAACATCTGGGCCGTGGTCTTGGGCCTCCTTGTCATACTTGCGGTCATCATCTGGGTCGTCGTATTTTACGCAACTGCACTGAATCGCGGCTACACGGGTTCCTATCATCTGCCCCAAGACTGAGGCCCCCCCTTTCCCAGCTGCTCCACGCATATGTGCACAATGGAGTTCAATAAAGTACACGTATCCGTCCACACCCCTCACCATCCCTTCTCCCCCAGTCCAGGGACCGGAAGATGGTGGGAGACGTGATTGGGGCCCAGAGCCATGCGTCCACCGCCAAGTGCCTGAACTCCGTGGCCCTGGTCTTGGGCCTCCTTGTCATATTTGCGGTCATCATCTCGGTCGTCGTATTTTTCGCAACTGCACTGAATCGCCTGCCCCAAGACTGAGGCCCTCCCCCTTTCCCAGCTGCTCCACGCACATGTGCACAATGGAGTTCAATAAAGTACACGTATGTGACAACGCTGTCTTTTCTCCTGGAGAGGGTCCTGTGAGAGCCCTGCCTGCCCCTGGACTGAGCCCACCACCACCTGCCCCCTGCCCGCTGCCCAGAGGTCAGGAGGGGCCTGGACCCGAAGCCAGGAGCAGCCAGGCCATCCTCCCTGCGGGAGCACATGTGCCCTCGCCCCGCCCCGGACCTGCCCCTGGACGGGCATGGTCAGGAGTGTCCCCTCCAGCTGCCCCGCCTCCCAGTCTGTCTCCAGGCTCTTCCCAGAGCCGCTGGTGAAGTGGTTCTCAACCTTCCTAATACTGCGACCCTTTAATTCAGTTCCTCATGTTGTGGTGACCCCCAACCATAAAATTATCTTCGCTGCTACTTCATCACTGTCATGTTGCTACTGTTATGAATCGTCATGTAAATATCTGATATGCAGGATGTATTTTCATTGTTACACATTGAATATCATTAAAGCAAAGTGATTAATCACAAAAACAATACGTAATTATATCTGTGTTTTCCCATGGTCTTAGGCAACCCCTGTGAAAGGGTCGTTTGACCCCCAAAGGGGTCCCGACCCACAGGTTGAGAACCGCTGGTGTGGGGCCACACCAGCTACGCCTCCACCGCCCCGCCCAACGGTCTGGACCCGCCCCTCAGTCTGGAACTCGCCTGCTCATTGGGTCCCGCAGGCTGGACGCTCCACCCACTGCAGCTCCTCCCTTCCCGTCCTCAGCCGCCTTTCGCCCATCCATCGGGTCGGAACCTTGGGGAACCACCTGCTCCCCGTTTCCTGCTACGCTCACCCTCCCCGCTGCATGCTCCTCCCCCGCCTACATCCGGTCCCGCCCACTAGGGTCACGATCGCTTCCGGCCCCGCCTCCTACCCTGCTATTGGGGTAAACTCCCAGCCCCGCCCAGGTCCCCTCCGCACCCACCTTCCAAGCCGCCCCGTCGTGGGGGGAGGGGCGCCAGGTCCCCCACGTGCGGGCCAAGCGGCGGTTCC